CACCATTAAGAACCTTCCATTGTATCTGGTACATGCACCATTAAGAACCTTTCATTGTAGTCCTGGTACATGCACCATTAAGAACCTTCCATTGTAGTCTGGTACATGCACCATTAAAACCTTCATTGTAGTCCTGGACATGCACCATTAAGAACCTTCCATTGTAGTCCTGGTACATGCACCATTAACAACCTTCACTGTAGTCCTGATACATGCACCATTAAGAACCTTCCATTGTAGTCCTGGTACATGCACCATTAAGAACCTTCCTTTGCAATCCTGGTACATGCACCATTAAGAACCTTCCATTGTAGTCCTGGTACATGCACCATTAAGAACCTTCATCTGTAGTCCTGGTACATGACACCATTAAGAACTTCCATTGTAGTCCTGGTACATGCACCATTAAGAACCTTTCCATTGTAGTCCTGGTACATGCACCATTAAGAACCTTCCATTGTAGTCCTGGTACATGCACCATTAAGAACCTTCCATTGTAGTCCTGGTACATGCACCATTAAGAACCTTCATTGTAGTCCTGGTACATGCACCATTAAGAACCTTCATTGTAGCCCTGGTGCATGCACCATTAAGAACCTTCATTGTAGTCCTGGTACATGCACCATTAACAACCTTCATTGTAGTCCTGGTACATGCACCATTAAGAACCTTCCATTGTAGTCCTGGTACATGCACCATTAAGAACCTTCATTGTAGTCCTGGTACATGCACCATTAAGAACCTTCCATTGTAGTCCTGGTACATGCACCATTAAGAACCTTCCATTGTAGTCCTGGTACATGCACCATTAAGAACCTTCATTGTAGTCCTGTGTTCATGCCATTATGAAAACCTTCATTGTACCTGGTACATGCACCATTAAGAACCTTCCATTGTAGCATGGTGCATGCACCATTAAGATACCTTCATGTAGCCTCGGTACATGCACCAATTAAGAACCTTCATTGTAGCCCTGCCATAAAAAAACCTTCATTCGTAGCCATGTATGCACATTAAAACCATTGCTCCCGTGTCGTTTCGATTATTATCCAAAATTATGATACATATAGCATATTATTTGACCCTAGCTGATATAAATCGTTCCGACATAATGATGCAACTATTACCATTACCAACACGTCTTGGGAATTAAAAACAGTCCAGTGACCTAGCCCTTCCCCCCACCCCAAAAAAAAAAAAAATTTATCTGTAATGGTATGTAGTGATTATTATTATACACAAATGAGTTCCGAATCAGAAGGGTTATGAAGTCTTATATATTTGAAAAAGAAAAGTCTCAAAGGCTTTGCTCCAATTAGAGGCTAAGATACCATTACCATACAAAGTGTTGTTTAGTCCATTCTCAGGCCTCGTCGTCCCCTGCGTTTTGTGCTTCCCCTAAAAGTTAGGTTGGTTGTTGATGGTTTTAAGGCCTATCGACTACAACGAAGTGGTCTTATAGCTCGCGCGTTAGCCTTTCACACCACAGATTGCCTTTAATCCCTGTTTTATGGATTACAGTGAACTTTGTGTATGTACACAGAGATACACCTAACTGTGTATATGTCTGTATGTATCGTGTGGATTGTATTTAGTTATTCCTCAACTGTATAATGTATAACCTATACGAGATATAAATTTGTGTGTATACTTATATGTACTTCTCAGCTCTCTCTCTCTCTCTCTCTCTCTCATGCAGCCGACCCTCGCGTAGTAGACAAGTTTTAAACCCCAAATATACAAAGGAAAAGCTGTGCTTCGTTAAATAGCTTGTGTCTGTTAAAGTGTTAAACCCGTATGCGCTGCCAGGATAAGAAGCTCTGTCATAGTATAAGAAAACCTCGCAACCAAACTCCCTCAGTAATGGTCGGTAGCTATTTTTTCCTCCAAGATATTGTACCCAAATTATAAGCAGGATTCTACCCCTTCCACCTGAAGGGGATCAATGTCGGCACGCGGGAGGGGAAGCGAGGGTAGGGGAGGTGGTGGGAAGGGGAAGAAAAGGGTAAGGGAAGCAAGGCGAACATGTGATAGGTAGTTGGTTGAGTGGGGAGAGAAGGAGTGAAGAGACAGGTGGGTGATGGAGGGGAAGTGGATGAGACAGCTGCTACGTAAAGGACATAATGATGGAAAGAAGCAAGGGGGGACAGAGGAGACAAAATTGATACAGAAAACAGGGCAGAACGAATCAAGGAGAAACAGATAACAACAGAGGTTGCAGTTCACGTTTAAAACATGTTTCTGTGGTGAGTTATAACTTGAACCTTCGTCTTCCTCCAGTATATAAAGTTATAAAACCTAACCACAGTGAAAGATTTCACCGATATATAGACACCATGATGAGTAGTCCAGGAAACCCGACAACTAGTGTAATATATATTATATATATATATATTTTATATATATATATATATATTTTATATATATATATATATATATATATATATATATATATATATATAAGCACATTGGCAGGGTGACCCAAAAAAGAAGAAATACTTTGATCACTGACATTGACTGAGGACATGACGTGATGAATCTCTGTTAGTAGTGATGAAGTCACCAAAACTACTTTGATGATTGCTGGTAATCTGACCAAGAACCGTCAGATAACAAGTGATGCATATAACTGTTGCCAGGTCCAGTCATTTAGGAATAATGCTGCGGAAACTGTAGCATTATAGTGAGAAATTTGGAACAGCTATTGTTGTGGGTTGGAATATTGGATAGGCTGGGAAACAGATGGATGGGGAACATAGATCGTCAGGGAAGGAACACTTAAGTTGTTCTAATTTAGGAATTCGGGTGATGAATGGTTTGTACGGGTTTGGCGCTTCTCAGTGAATACACGAGAGAAAACTGTGAACCAGATGCCTATATTTGTCAATGAATATTGCAAAATTGTCGACCTGAGGAGAGCCCTGGTGGATTTTCCACCCTAGTTTAACATTTTGTATAATAAGCGTTGGTAGACTTAGTCTCTCAGTCATGACAGTCCTCTGTAACCTCTCTGAGTTTTTCATGCAGTCAGTTACCCAAGGCTGACCAGGAAAAAGGCGCTGGTGCGGGACCAGTGTATCTATTAAACAGCCTCACACGCAAGCCTTCTCTTACACTATCATTTACGGGCTCTTTCCGAGAGCTATTGTTATTTATACAGGGTGTCATGTGTGCTGGCTTTGAGTCTTGCAGTTAGATCTACTTTGGACTCTCATTTGTAGATACAGTGTTGATTTTGCCAGAGGGTCAGACTGAGGCAGGGTCAGTCAATCTCCTCAGAAGTTCAATGTGGGTCGGCTTGTTGTCTAGTGGCTCCATCAAACATTACACTTTCACAAACATTGTTATTAGGGACTTAGTTTATATATATACCTTGTAATGTGAAGACAGTCCTAGAGAGCGATGTCTTTATGCTAGATCTTTCGTGAGCTTACTGTTTTGCTTTTGGAACTTAGCTGCTGTGGGGTGAGGCTGAAACTTCGTTGTGTAGTTGTTCGGTCCTGTGGGGGACTTGTCTGTCTCCGCTTTCTTGTTTCGGATTCTTAGTTTCATGACAGCTAAGATGTGTAGGGACTTGAATGCACACTGTGGTTGACTTATTTCAACCATATGAGAATTTGACTTTATTAGTACACACACACAAAGTCACAATACCGTGACTGGAACAATACACAAATAACCCGCACATAGAACAGAGCAGCTTACCACGACGTTTCGGTCCAACTTGGACCATTGACAAAGTCACACTAACTTCATCAGTTACCTTGTGTAACTTTGCAGTGCACTACTACATGTGTTTATGGAGCTACATTACGTTATTGATACATAATATGAATAGTACAAAGATTCCTTCCTGTAAAAAGTATTATTTTACCTGCTTTTTATTTGTCGTAATAGTCACTAGGCTAGATTCCTACATTTCGTGATTTTAATTTGTCAGACGTTTGTCTGCAACAAGCAGAGACAGTCTCCCAGCCCATGAATATAACCGAGGTGTTGAACAGTCTTCAGGACTGTTTAATACAACAGGGTTAGGTAAGGTTAATCAGGAAACTGGACAAGTGTTTCCTGACACGGGTCTTAGATGATGGCCCACCGTTATAGCTTTTGGTCATCTGACCGAGGCCTTCCGCTGGCTTACCGGCCCACTCCTTTAAAAATTATGGTCATAGTTATAACCATCTCTTCTCTTAATACAACAATTGTGGTGTGTTCATGTTGCCATAAACTAATGTAAATGAATTTCTGCAGTTATTAAATCGTATAATGTTCTGGGTACCTTAAACAAATATCTTTGAGTTTAAGTAACAAATTTAGTTTAATTTATTTTGTATGCAAGCCCCGCCCGTACCATGGTTTGTTTACAATCGTGTCATTACGATTTCGTGAGTCATGATGATAGCTTTAAGGGAACTTGAGCTAGAGTTCGTCACGGCCACGCTGGCGGGAGAGACATCTGCAAAAATTCGCATTTGTGGTCACAGAGGGGCCATGCTAGCCTCACTATGGTGTATAAATATACCTAGTTGGATGAATCTTACCGTAACCAGCTGGTGCTGTGGTTAAAGTACTGGCCTGGAATTTTACGACTCACTTGCCGCGAGTTCAGTACCCACCCGTACCGTGGATTCTTTCTCCTATGTGAGGGTTATTTGTGTAAAAGGTCCTCAATGATATGAAAATACTTCCTCATAATGTCCTCAGTAATATTACTAAGCACATTATGATTTACAAAAAAAGCGAATAATAATTATAATAAAAAAACGTATAATTTGTGCAATAAGATAGTAGTAAACAGGTGATATCACAATATGCAAACAACCACTGTTTAAAAATAGTGAAATTCCAGGCGCTTTCCTAATTTTTCAGTCCTTGATAATGTGACAAATCACGAAAGCGCTTGGAATTTCACCATTTTTTCACTGTGGTTGTTTTGCACATATAGTTTGTGTTTAGCAGTGGTCGATAATGAATTACATGACAAGTCTGTGTCCACAGTGATGGGGTGTGGACGCCGGTGTGGATGTTGGGCGCTCAGTGAACTGGAACTGGAACGATCCAGACACCAGGCTACCCTGGAGGAGAATACTCGCTACCAGAGACACGTCCAGGTCAGTTTTACCTGGTACCAGGGACATCCAGGTCAGTCTTACCTGCTACCAGAGACACGTCCAGGTCAGTCTTACCTGCTACCCGGGTCATCCAGGTCAGTCTTACCTGGTACCAGGGACACCCAGGTCAGTCTTACCTGCTACCAGAGACATCCAGGTCAGCCTTACCTGGTACCAGGGTCATCCAGGTCAGTCTTACCTGGTACCTGGGGCATCCAGGTCAGTCTTACCTGGTACAAGGGTCATCCAGGTCAGTCTTACCTGCTACCTGGGACATCCAGGTCAGTCTTACCTGCTACCTGGGACATCCAGGTCAGTCTTACCTGCTAGCAGGGTCATCCAGGTCAGTCTTACCTGCTACCAGGGTCATCCAGGTCAGTCTTATCTGCTACCAGGGTCATCCAGGCCAGTCTTACCTGCTATCAGGGTCATCCAGGTCAGTCTTACCTGCTACCAGGGACATCCAGGTCAGTCTTACCTGCTACCTGGGACATCCAGGTCAGTCTTACCTGCTAGCAGGGTCATCCAGGTCAGTCTTACCTGCTACCAGGGTCATCCAGGTCAGTTTTACCTGCTACCAGGGTCATCCAGGTCAGTCTTACCTGCTACCAGAGTCATCCAGGTCAGTCTTACCTGCTACCAGGGTCATCCAGGTCAGTCTTACCTGCTACCAGAGACACGTCCAGGTCAGTCTTACCTGCTACCAGGGTCATCCAGGTCAGTCTTACCTGCTACCAGGGTCATCCAGGTCAGTCTTACCTGCTACCAGGGTCGTCCAGGTCAGTCTTACCTGGTACCAGGGTCATCCAGGTCAGTCTTACCTGGTACCAGGGACATCCAGATCAGTCTTACCTGGTACCAAGATCATCCAGGTCAGTCTTACCTGGTACCAGGGTCATCCAGATCAGTCTTACCTGGTACCAGGGTCATCCAGGTCAGTCTTACCTGCTACCAGAGTCATCCAGGTCAGTCTTACCTGCTACCAGGGTCATCCAGGTCAGTCTTACCTGCTACCAGAGACACGTCCAGGTCAGTCTTACCTGCTACCAGGGTCATCCAGGTCAGTCTTACCTGCTACCAGGGTCATCCAGGTCAGTCTTACCTGCTACCAGGGTCGTCCAGGTCAGTCTTACCTGGTACCAGGGTCATCCAGGTCAGTCTTACCTGGTACCAGGGACATCCAGATCAGTCTTACCTGGTACCAAGATCATCCAGGTCAGTCTTACCTGGTACCAGGGTCATCCAGATCAGTCTTACCTGGTACCAGGGTCATCCAGGTCAGTCTTACCTGGTACCAGGGTCATCCAGGTTAGTCTTACCTGGTACCAGGGTCATCCAGGTCAGTCTTACCTGCTACCAGGGTCATCTAGGTCAGTCTTACCTGGTATCAGGGTCATCCAGGTCAATCTTACCTGCTACCAGAGTCATCCAGGCCAATCTTACCTGATACCAGAGACATCCAAGTCAGTTTTACCTGCTACCAGGGTCATCCAGGTCAATCTTACATGCTACCAAGGTCATCCAGGTCAGTCTTACCTGCTACCTGGGTCATCCAGGTCAGTCTTACCTGCTACCTGGGTCATCCAGGTCAGTCTTACCTGCTACCAGGGTCATCCAGGTCAGTCTTACCTGCTACCTGGGTCATCCAGGTCAGTCTTACCTGTTTCCTGGGTCATCCAGGTCAGTCTTACCTGCTACCTGGGTCATCCAGGTCAGTCTTACCTGCTACCAGAGGCATCCAGGTCAGTCTTACCTGCTACCAGGGTCATCCAGGTCAGTCTTACCTGCTACCTGGGTCATCCAGGTCAGTCTTACCTGTTTCCTGGGTCATCCAGGTCAGTCTTACCTGCTACCTGGGTCATCCAGGTCAGTCTTACCTGCTACCAGAGGCATCCAGGTCAATCTTACCTGCTACCAGGGACATTCAGGTCAGTCTTACCTGCTACTAGGGTCATCCAGGTCAATCTTACATGCTACCAGAGACATCCAGGTCGGTCTTACATGCTACCAGAGACATCCAGGTCAATCTTACCTGCTACCAGGGACACATTCAGGTCACGTTCTCTGGCACAGGTCCCGCTGCTGCAGTGTACTAACACGCTATGTTGCTCCAAATCACGCTAGGCCAGCCAAGGTCACAAGAGGTCACTGCAAATATGCCGACTTCAAGGTCTCCATCTGAAAATAAATAACATTGTTTTTGTGGAAAATATTGTATATTTTCCGGAAATACGGTAATTTATAGGTAAATAGATGCCCTATATTGTATTTTTAAAAGAAGTATGTTATCGAAAACTGAGCCTGCGCCTGCGCCGAGCAGTCGCCATTACTGTTTGAACTGGTCAACTGTTAGTGAATATTGGGAAGAATTTTTCGTTCTCTAGAGGTTAAAATTGGGCTGACACCTCTCAAATAGGAGACGAAATTGTTGGATGTGCATTCCTGCATAATTTGAGTATCAGGCGACAGGACAGGACAACTCCAGGAACCTCAGATTAGCTGTCTAATTTATGTTTAAATTCTGGCCAGTAAATTGTTCATAAATGTGGGCAAAGGGGCGGGGGGTCCTGTACATGACACATTAATCTCCAGTCAAATTGGTGAGTGATATTAAGATATTTTCCTTCTGTTATATAAATGTGTTTATATATAATCATTTTTAATTTAATATACAGTCCACAAATTTATATATCTACCAGCATTCCTGGTGATGTATATTTCATTTATAATTAATAGGTCCAGAGCAACTTGTGGATATGACAGTGGTAGGTATCGAAGGGGGACATTTTTTGCGACCTAGGTGTCCCAAATTCCTACTTGTCTAACTGATAAATAATAATTATCTTTGTTCATTTACTGTTATGTACATAATGATACATTCAGATAAATGTAATTTTCCACAGTTTTAATTTACCGAAATTATCCTAAGCAATTTAGATAAGACTAAATCTCCTCAATGTACATTATATGTGTGGTCACAATACCTGTGTGCCCTCAGGTGATGTTAGGTCGACCGCAGATCATGCTAGGTCAATATAGGTCAGCTAGATGTACTCAGACCAGCTAATTACGTCAACAAATCAATTTTAGTTGTATTCAGCAACTCGACTGCGGTACGATATGTTATCGACACTTGAACCCTGCGCTCGTTGTCAGACGTAGAATTAATTTAATGCAGCCTAACTGGGCTTGTTTTCTTCTGTATTTAAATGAATTGGTTTAAAAAATAATATTCTAGTGTCTAACGTGATGTGACTGAAGGAAATGTAGGTTAATTATTTATATGACCAATGTTAAAATAGTGAAAATGAGATGTCAAGGTCACACCAGGCGTGGCCAAGGTCACACCAGACCTGATCAAGGTCACACCAGACCTGATCAAGGTCACAACAGACCTTTTCAAGGTCACACCAGACCTGGTCATGACCACTTTGCATATATTCTGATAAGATATCGCTTTTGATGTGTGTGCACTGAGAACAACAGTGCATGTACACATGGAAGGACATACTCACCAGTACATGAACTCAAAATTAACTGTAATAAAGAATTTATTGGATAAACAGAAGAGAGGACGAGGGCCACGTCCCGCGGCTCCTAAATGGCAGTATATATATATAATCTCAGTACGCCCATATTTAGGATTAATATTGATAGGCGGTGAACAAGTGACATGGGGACCTTAAGCTGCCAGTCCAAAAAGTGAGAATACAAAATACTAATTATATTTCACTTAAAAATGTGCCTTAATTGAGATAATGAATAGAACATGGGTTACCAGGGAATAGGGATGAACTGTTGGTCCATATATTGAGTGTTATAAGTTCACTGGAAACATATATTTTGGTCGTATAGGGGAAAGGCTTATTTAACCAAAAAAATAATAAATTTAACCCATCTTAACGAAATCTATCATAAAAATTAAGTTTTAATTTAGGTTAAATTTAGTAATTTTTTGGTTAGATTTTTTTTATCTTTTTTTGTTACCCCCCAAAAATGTTTTTTTTTTTTCAATAAATCCAAAATATAATGGCGTCTGGTACTTAACAATGAAAAACGTACATAATCCTCTCCTGCCGAATTAAAACGCAAGGACCTCTGTATTAGTCGAAATTGTCAAATATAACTCCAGTTTTTAAAGAGGTGGACCGGTAAGCCAGTGGAACCCTCAGTCAAATGACCAAAAGCTCCAGCTGCGGGTTATCATACGTCTAAGACTCGCATCAGGAAATACTTGTCCTGTTTCCTGACAAACCTTACCTAACCTAATTTATTATCAGTAATTATGTCAACCAAGACATGTTTTTATCCTCCTATTCTAGTTTTTTCTTCTCAGGAGCTGCGTGAGGAGCTATCAACACTACACTCCACCGTAGCGGACCTGGAAAGACGCTACTCTGACCTCTCAGCACGCTACCGCAACACTGTGTCTTCTCTAGATCAGGCAAGTCCTTCCATCCAGTGCTATTGTTTGTCAGTGGAAGAGGAAAAATCTGCCAGGGGTCTTGTTCACTGGTGATGGTGGCACTGCAGTTCAATGATGATGACAGTGGAGTTAAGTGATGGTTGTGCTGCAGTTCAGTGATAGGTTCCAGGGGCGGAGCTCATTCACCTGCAGGCACAGGTGAACAGTGCCATTTCTTTTATATAAATGGGATTGAAAAACTACATCCAGAGCAGAATAACATATAAACAGACCTTCACAGTACGTACTACGAATTTTCGTTATAATTAGTCAACTCCACTAAAAAATGACGCTATAGAGAATACCTTTATAAGAGAGGATACTGTATATATTTTCTTCTAGTCCTGCATTATTATTTTTAATATAATATATATATATATATATATATATATATATATATATATATATATATATATATAATATATATAATATATATAATATATATTATATTATATAATGGGCTAGTAACCCTTTTCCTGTAAATATTACTAAAAAGAATAAGAAGAAAATTGTCAAAGTGGGAAGTCTGAATGTGCGTGGATGTTGTGCAGATGATAAGAAAGAGATGATTGTGGATGTTATGAATGAGAAGAAACTGGATGTCCTGGCTTTAAGTGAAACAAAGCTGAAGGGGGTGGGAGAGTTTCAATGGAGAGGAATAAATGGGATTAGGTCAGAAGTTTCAAATAGAGTTAGAGCTAAAGAAGGAGTAGCAATAATGTTGAAGGATAAGCTATGGCAGGAAAAGAGGGACTACAAATGCATAAATTCAAGGATTATGTGGAGTAAAATAAAGATTGGATGTGAAAAGTGGGTTATAGTAAGCGTGTATGCACCTGAAGAAGAGAGAAGTGTAGAGGAGAGAGAGAGATTCTGGGAAATGTTAAGTGAATGCGTGGGGAGTTTTGAATAAAGTGTGAGAGTAATGGTGGTTGGGGATTTCAATGCTAAAGTGGGTAAAAATGTTATAGAGGGAGTAGTAGGTAAATTTGGGGTGCCAGGGGTAAATGTAAATGGGGAGCCTTTAATTGAGCTATGTGTAGAAAGAAATTTGGTAATAAGTAATACATATTTTATGAAAAAGAGGATAAATAAATATACAAGGTATGATGTAGCACGTAATGAAAGTAGTTTGTTAGATTATGTATTGGTGGATAAAAGGTTGATGGGTAGGCTCCAGGATGTACATGTTTATAGAGGGGCAACTGATATATCAGATCATTATTTAGTTGTAGCTACAGTTAGAGTAAGAGGTAGATGGGAAAAGAGGAAGGTGGCAACAACAAGTAAGAGGGAGGTGAAAGTGTATAAACTAAGGGAAGAGGAAGTTCGGGTGAGATATAAGCGACTATTGGCAGAAAGGTGGGCTAGTGCAAAGATGAGTAGTGGGGGGGGGGTTGAAGAGGGTTGGAATAGTTTTAAAAATGCAGTATTAGAATGTGGGGCAGAAGTTTGTGGTTATAGGAGGGTGGGGACAGGAGGAAAGAGGAGTGACTGGTGGAATGATGAAGTAAAGGGTGTGATAAAAGAGAAAAAGGTAGCTTACGAGAGGTTTTTACAAAGCAGAAGTGTTATAAGAAGAGCAGAGTATATGGAGAGTAAAAGAAAGGTGAAGAGAGTGGTGAGAGAGTGCAAAAGGAGAGCAGATGAAAGAGTGGGAGAGGCACTGTCAAGAAATTTTAATGAAAATAAGAAAAAATTTTGGAGTGAGTTAAACAAGTTAAGAAAGCCTAGGGAAAGTATGGATTTGTCCATTAAAAACAGAGTAGGGGAGTTAGTAGATGGGGAGAGGGAGGTATTAGGTAGATGGCGAGAATATTTTGAGGAACTTTTAAATGTTGAGGAAGAAAGGGAGGCGGTAATTTCATGCACTGGCCAGGGAGGTATACCATCTTTTAGGAGTGAAGAAGAGCAGAATGTAGTGTGGTGGAGGTACGTGAGGCATTACGTAGAATGAAAGGGGGTAAAGCAGCTGGAACTGATGCGATCATGACAGAAATGTTAAAAGCAGGGGGGATATAGTGTTGGAGTGGTTGGTACTTTTGTTTAATAAATGTATGAAAGAGGGGAAGGTACCTAGGGATTGGCGGAGAGCATGTATAGTCCCTTTATATAAGGGAAAGGGGACAAAAGAGATTGTAAAAAATATAGAGGAATAAATTTACTGAGTATACCAGGAAAAGTATACGGTTAGGGTTATAATTGAAAGAATTAGAGGTAAGACAGAATGTAGAATTGCGGATGAGCAAGGAGGCTTCAGAGTGGGTAGGGATGTGTAGATCAAGTGTTTACATTGAAGCATATATGTGAACAGTATTTAGATAAAGGTAGGGAAGTTTTTATTGCATTTATGGATTTAGAAAAGGCATATGATAGAGTGGATAGAGGAGCAATGTGGCAGATGTTGCAAGTATATGGAATAGGTGGTAAGTTACTAAATGCTGTAAAAGAGCTTTATGAAGATAGTGAGGCTCAGGTTAGGGTGTGTAGAAGAGAGGGAGAATACTTCCCGGTAAAAGTAGGTCTTAGACAGGGATGTGTAATGTCACCATGGTTGTTTAATATATTTATAGATGGGGTTGTAAAAGAAGTAAATGCTAGGGTGTTCGGGAGAGGGGTAGGATTAAATTATGGGGAAATCAAATTCAAAATGGGAATTGACACAGTTACTTTTTGCTGATGATACTGTGCTTATGGGAGATTCTAAAGAAAAATGCAAAGGTTAGTGGATGAGTTTGAGAATGTGTGTAAAGGTAGAAAGTTGAAAGTGAACATAGAAAAGAGTAAGTGTGATGAGGGTATCAAATGATTAGATAAAGAAAAATTGGATATCAATTGGGGAGGAGGAGTATGGAAGAAGTGAATGTTTTCAGATACTTGGAGTTGACGGTGTCGGCGGATGGATTTATGAAGGATGAGGTTAATCATAGAATTGATGAGGGGAAAAAAAGGTGAGTGGTGCGTTGAGGTATATGTGGAGTCAAAAAACGTTATCTTGGAGGCAAAGAAGGGAATGTATGAAAAGTATAGTAGTACCAACACTCTTATATGGATTTGAAGCTTGGGTGGTAAATGCAGCAGCGAGGAGACGGTTGGAGGCAGTGGAGATGTCCTGTCTAAGGGCAATGTGTGGTGTAAATATTATGCAGAAAATTCGGAGTGTGGAAATTAGGAGAAGGTGTGGAGTTAATAAAAGCATTAGTCAGAGGGCAGAAGAGGGGTTGTTGAGGTGGTTTGGTCATTAGAGAGAATGGATCAAAGTAGAATGACATGGAAAGCATATAAATCTATAGGGAAGGAAAGAGGGGTAGGGTCGTCCTCGAAAGGGTTGGAAAGAGGGGGTAAAAGGGGGTTTTGTGGGCGAGGGCTTGGACTTCCAGCAAAACGTGCATGAGCGTGTTAGATAGGAGTGAAGGAGACGAATGATACTTGGGAAACCCGACGATCTGTTGGAGTGTGGCAGGGTAATATTTAGTGAAGGGATTCAGGGAACCGGTTATTTTCATATAGTCGGACTTGAGTCCTGGAAATGGGAAGTACAATGCCTGCACTTTAAAGGAGTGGTTTTAGGATATTGGCAGTTTGGAGGGATATGTTGTGTATCTTTATACGTATATGCTTCTAAACTGTTGTATTCTGGGCACCTCTGCAAAAGCAGTGATAATGTGTGAGTGTGGTGAAAGTGTTGAATGATGATGAAAGTATTTTCTTTTGGGGATTTTCTTTCTTTTTTGGGTCACCCTGCCTCGGTGGGAGACGACCGACTTGTTGAAAAAAAAATATATATATAATATATATATATATATATATAATATATATATATATATATATATATATATATATATATATATTATAATATATATTTATTATTCACTTGAGTAGTGATCCTCAGGCGCCTGTGACCAGAGGCCATTCAATTAGGCCGTATATCCTTCGTGGGTTTAGTGCATAGTTTCCAGTGTTGTAATTTTAATTTAGTCCTGTTCTGCTCTGACTCGTTGTTACAGGTCAATGATACGACTCTCAGGTTGAAGGACCATTCAGCTGACCTGGTGGACCAGAACCGTCGCCTCAGGTCCAACTGTGACAAGTTAGAGGAAGAGGTGAGAAAATACCCTATATACAGCCTAACATCACTTTAATGACACCTCTCACCTCACAGAAAGGTATCCCTGCATTCTATAATCCCAACCTCCTCTACATCAATGCACTCTAGAGAAATAGTGATGGATGGTAATTAAATACCGAGGGAGCAAAATATAAAATATATGTATTTAATATACATATGTATGCATGTGCATATATACGGTTTTGCGTATGTCTGCAAGTGTATACATGGGTATTTGTGTGTGCATACATAAATATACACATTTTTTGTATGTATGCATCCTGTATGTATGCATCCTGTATGTATATGTGCATATCTATTAGAATGTATTTTTGTGTGAATGTATATATGTATACTTGTATATGTATGAATGTGCTTGAGTATGTGTTCATATTTATGCATTTGCATACATATGTATTTTGTCAACAACCGGAAACAGTAGATGAGAGTCATCTATTTCTCTTTCCAGTTCATAACTTTGTATGGAACTGATAAAGTCATTGGCTGGCTAAACTTCTTCGAAATGAAGATACCCAGGTGTTACACCTACCATACCACGGGTGGGGATAGAACCCGTGGTCCGAGTCGTAAATTCCAGACCGTGGGTTCTATCCCACTCGTGGTATGGTTTGTTTGCAATCGCGTCATTACGATTTCGTGAGTCAGGTGTTACACATGTTTTAATTCATCGCTTTAGCTTGGGTAACTTTCGTCAGGAAACAGGATAAGTGTTTCATGACGCGGGTCTTAGTTATATGATGACCCTTTGGGGTCTTGATTGACTTGTTCTAACTTACAATCTTACTTTCTTGTCAGGCACGCCTCCTGCGGGAGGAGCTGGAGAACGCGAGGGCCCAGGCGGAGGAGGAACACCGTCGGCGCGTCTCCAGCGAAGTCTCCCTCAGTCGAGACCTGGTCGACACTGAGAGGAAGTGTCACGTAAAGCTGCGTCGAGCCCACTCCTTGCACGACATGGACAAGCAGCACCTCCGTCACGACCTCGACCGTCTGCAACTCGCCCTACACAGGGAAAAGAAGAGCCACCAGATGACTTTAAGGGATATGTATCGTCATTACCCCTACACCTACTGCCTCCCTCATAGCATATACAACTGCCATGACTGCTACCACGATCCCATGCTCCTAGACTAAGATAAGCAGCCAAGCCTCCGCGGACTATTATTATAGGGTAATATTGAGTTCAGGTTCTAGTCTGAACTCACCCAATGTCTCATGTTTCAACATGGAAGGAAGGTATGCACTCGCGGGGAAGGCCATGTGAAGATAATAACGTGGATCATGTAGCATCTGGGAATTGGGAAGAAATCAGGTTTGATCTAAGGAAGAATAAGATAGCTATAATTCGAGAATCTTTCACCAGCATCAAGGACTGAAGGGTAACGGTAACACTAAGAATTTTGGTTTCGCTATGTATGGATTTATAGCCGTCTCTGTGGTTGGTTGGTTTATTTCTCTGTTACATCAAAACATACTCCTTGCTAAGACCTTTTTCACTCATTTACGCTGTATTTGGATAAATTTAGATAATTTATTTATGGGCATATAAAGAAATCAAATTAAGTCTGTATAAAAACAAAATATCCGTTTAGAACACAATATTGAAGGCCGGAAGAGTACCGGCGAATAATAATAAAAAAAAAAGACCTGGAAGTTAAAACCAAAATATAGAAGCAATGTTGCTGAATATAACGGAAGGTTGGGACAGACAGCAGGAGAGTTTGTGACTGGAGATGGAACAATTTCTCTTGACATAAGTGATATGTGATGACCCACCCAGTAGAGTTACGTCACTTGACCTAGGACTTCACCTGGCCAATTTACCTGTTAGGTGCATAAGAGCAACAGGTGTAACGAGACCGCCCATACGTCTCGCCTGATTCGGATGTCACCCACAACAGTTGATCAGCATCCTGGTATGTATTTAATGCTAGGAGAACAGAAGCAGCAGGCATAAGGCGTGCACACAAGTCCCGCCTAGTCAAGAATTAAACACGGGTACTCCGACTGAGGCGAATGCACTACCGTTTAATTACGAAAGTGTCACCAGTTATTCTTGAACAGTTTTTTATCGATATTAAACTCCTAGAGTTTGTTAAAAAAAAAGGCACATAGGACGTGATAATATGTAATTACTGCAGAATAGATTAGGACTAACTACGGTAAGAGTCAAGTTCTGTACCTAGTTTGAAGTTACAGTAACATACACAGTTCTAGGTTAAAGTCACTAATAAATAGTGCAGACTAGCAATATCCTACTAGCTAGTTCAGACAGCAACATCAGTACTCCCCACAACCCCAGTATTTCCGTACTATTGGTTGGTTAATTAGATTTAAAGTCTACACGAGGGTCATTGAGGCTGCGTAACATGTTCACAACCAGTCAAGCATACTTTAATATATAAAATATAGATTAAAGTAAACTCTCAGCATATATACGCTGAGAGAAATACACGTCAGCATATATACGCTGAAAGAAATTCACCTCAGAATATATACGCTGAGGGAAATATACGTCTCCGTGTACGTATCCCGTGTCAAGTAGTATTTGCTTTATTATATTAAAAATCTAAATTAATTAAAAATCGAAATTTATAAGTTTTACTGATTTATCCCTTTTTAAAAGGGATAAATCAGTAAAATTATGCAGTTTGAAAAGAAAATTAAAATGATATAGCACTAGAATCCGAAACAAAACCGAAATTGAGGCACAGCTCCTCGGGAGAATGGAAGAAGGAGGGGCGACCTGATAGAAGAAAAATGTGAAAAAAAAATTAACCTAATGATCAAGTGGTTCATTAATATTTGAGACACATGCCAAAAGAAAAAGAAGGGATGTGAAGACAAGAACGATGACAGGAAGTTACAACAAAACAGAAAATGTGAGAAGGTTTAAGGGAATTGATAGAGTGAAAGCAGTGGGATCAGGAAGATCACCTTGGAGGCTGCAGGAAGCACAGAAACTATGTAACCCCATACCGAGTCGGCTAACACCCAGGTACCTACTTACTGCTAGATGAGCAGGGGCAGCAGGTGTAAGGTAACTAGCACCCAGGTACCTACTTACTGCTAGGTAAACATGGGGAACAGGTGTAAGGGAACACACCCAGATACTTCTGTTTTAGGTTTATAGGGCCACTGACACCTTACGCAATATCGTGACCAAACGGTCCCAACATTTCTGCTTGTCCGTTGTTGTCACTGAATTCCTGATGTATAACTGAAGCCAAATATTAAGCCAATTTACCATCGATAGATGATATTAATATAAACACAAATCATGCAAATTGTTAAAGATGCCAAAATGATAAATATCGTAGTTACCCATTTAACTTAAGCTCTACGCTGCCATTTTCTATAAACAAAGTACAGCCAAAGTCATAGAAAACTTCTAACATATTTTGGATAAACTATGATAAATATTACTATCACCAACAATAGTTTCTATTATTATTATCACGGGGAAGCTGTAAACTCGTAGGAGTTATACATTACTTCAGAATGGAAAGAGATCAAGTCTGATCAGAGGAATTGGAAGATAGCTCCAATTTCTTGGCTCAAGAGCCCTCCATTATCATAAGAATTTGCTATATTATTGCTAAAATTATAGTAAAACTTCTGTCGCTGTCAGGTTAAAAATATTTTATTTGTAAATTATGCTTTAAAATACAGTGTAGGCTAATTGGTGTCCTAAATTATCTGCATTTCTAATAGGCAGAGGTTTATTATTAAAGTTATTTGTGTTAATAGAAAACCGAAAGTATTTTTCTATACTCATTATTTACGATGTGTTTTTGGGTGTAATGTATTATTAACGTTGTAAATATAGATCATAAGAACATCGCTTTGATGAGATATATTAAACACTCCACAAAATCAATAATAATATTATTTTATGTTATACAAACAACAGTACGAGTTGATCATGCAAAAATCCATCACCAATAACTTGTTAACATAGATTTCGTTTTACTACGAGAAACTTAATATATCTACAAAACGGGAAACAGAATAAAAATGAGAATATTATTAACAGTTTAAAGATCTATGATAATATATGTACTTAAATTATAGTTATCATTGTGTTGTCTGTATTAAAATAATTCAAATGAGCGTTTTCTCTTATTTCACCTGTTTTTTTTTTTTATAATCACTTGTTACAGATTGTATTAAAACTATACGGTTATAACTATGACCATAATTTATAAGGGGTAGAGGGGTAAGCCAGTGGAAGGCCTCCATTAGATGACCAAATGCTCCAACGGCGGGTCATCTTGTAAGACCAACGTCAGGAAGCACTTGTCATGTTTCCTGATGAACCTTACCTAACCTAATCTTTATACTCATTTCCCCTCAAGGAAGGTTCCTTGATGTTGGTGAGGGGCTCTTGATTTAGGGAATTGGATCTGTGCTCCAGTTCCCCGAATTAAGCCTGAATGCCTTCCACATCCCCCCCCCCCAGGCGCTGTATAATCCTCCGGGTTTAGCGCTTCCCCCTTGATTATAATAATAATTTATACTCATTTACAGTCTCCCATCGAGGTTGGGTTAGGTCAAATTTATTCAATCACTGCCTTACCAATCACAGTTCACATGACTGTGAACTAACATCCCCAGCTATCCCTCAGAGTGCAGGCACTGATTAATTGGTTGTCCTGAACCCCTTCATGAATACTAACTTGTTCACACTCCAACAGCACACCAAGTCATAAAAATCACTTGTATCCACTCCTCATGCGCTCATACAAACCTCTTGCATGTGCAAAACAAATTCTCTTCTACATACCCTATTATTATTATAATCAAGGGGGAAGCGCTAAACCCGGAGGATTATACAGCGCCTGGGGGGGGGATGTGGAAGGCATTCAGGCTTAATTCGGGGAACTGGAGCACAGATCCAATTCCCCAAATCAAGAGCCCCTCACCAACATCAAGGAACCTTCCTTGAGGGGTCTACATACCCTAACCTGAGCCTCACTACCCACTTAGCAAATCTGCTTTTTTTTTAGTAGCCTACTACCTACTCATATAAGTGATAAATCTGTCACACTGACCCCCCTGTCCACCCTCCATGGGCTTTTCTAAATCCTTAAATGCGACAGAAAGTTCTTTACATTTATTAAAGTATTGATCACTCACAAAATTTAATACAACTATTGGCCTACGCACCTCCTAACCTTCCTAAACTTCCTTCATCTGAAATCCTACTCGGTTTTTTCCCTTATTTTTTTCATTAACTAATGCTTTACCTGGTTTACTCAACAAGCTTGTTCACTTATAATTCTAAAGCCTTTATATCCCATTTTCCTTATACAAAAACTACGCATGCACTCTGCCAGTCTTCAGGTGCTTACTCCTTCTTTTATATATATTGAACAACTACACCAATCACTCCACTGGCGGGGATAGAACCCGCGATCAGAGAGTCATAAAACTCCAGACCGACGCGCTAGCCACTGGGCTTTTAATAATATTTCTCTCTTGATTCCATCTATCAGGGTTGCTTTACCCACTTTTATTCTACTCACTGCCTTATATCCTTTACTATAAGACATTATACCTCCCTGCTCAGAGCATAAATCACTGCCTTCCTTATTAATCAACAACTCAAATTATTCCCGCATCTTCCCAGTCCCCCCATCCCCCGCCTCGCCCCTCCATACATATCTCCCTCTCTTTTGTTTTAATTGTTAAATTCATTTGTTCCCTAGGCTTTCTTAATTTATTAAATCTTTCTCCAGATCTTTTTATTATTCCAAGAAAATTTTGCTGATAAAACATCGCCAACTCTTTTTTTTTCTCCCTCACCACTCTTAATCTCTCTTGTACCCTCGTATACACTCCGACCTCTGCATGTCACTTCTACATTGTAAAGTACTCTTGTATACTTTCTTTTTGTCCCTTACCACTCTCTTCACCTCGTCAGTCCACCAATAATCCCTCTTCCTAGTCGCAACCACTCTCCCATGGCCAGAGCTTGCTACCACCTGCAGCCCACAAGACTGCCATTCCCACGAACCCTCTTGGGGCGGGGAAGATGGCAAAGCAGAGGCCTAACTTCTCCCTTCGAGCCCCGTGAGGGCGGGGAATTAGGCTAGGCCTGGGTACAGTTGGTCCCAGAAGATGAGGAGATACTTTTATCTCCTCCCATGACAGACATAGGTCCCAGACACTCCCAAGACAGGGAGTCAAGGCCGGGTCACCATCTAGATAAGACCCAGGTCGGGAGAGTACCGGGGAATCAAGACGAAGATGACCCACTCTCCTATACCCACAAACTTCTGCTGAACACTAACGATGCGTTCATATAACTACCTCATACCTCCTCAACCACCTCATTACCTGTGCTCTCTCTAGTCCACCTTTTCCCCAACAGTTGCTTATATCTTACCCCAACTTTCTCCTTTAATTTATTCACTTTCACTTCGCTTACCCACAGATGGCATTCTCCTTTTTTTGGGTTATCCTAGATAATCTACACATATGCTGTTATGTATGATGAGCTATGTATTTATATGTACGTGTACCGAAATAAACTTAATACACCTCTTATTCTCACTGTAGGTACTACAAAATAATCTCTATCATATCGCCTCTCTCGACACACAGCCAGAAGCCTAGCAACCTTCTGTCAATACTTCGTCTAAAACTGCTGTCACGAACCCAAACTATTCAATTATTATTACTATAATCATCAATGGGAAGCGCTAAGCCCGCTTGGGGTCATACAGCGTTTGAGAAACGGGAAGTATAGTGAGATGTGAACCAAAAAAAAGGTAGAATAACTAATTCCTTGTGGCAAGAGTTTTTTAAGAGTATCAAGGCATTGAGGATGTATGTGTCCCAGGGTGTATATATGTGTTCCAGGATGTATCACTGTCCCAGGATATATATATACGTGTCCTAAAATGGATGTATAAATCTTACAGGATATATGTGTATGTCTCAGAATGTTCATGTGTCTCAGGATGTGTATAAGATCATATTGATAAATACAGTTAAGAAATTGACTGGTAAATTCCAATTAGCGTCATCAACCCACATGATTATCTAAACTTAAATCCATTGTTTAATTAATATTTTAAATAAAGGGGCATTAATACATGACATGGGATAATAAACAATATTTTATACACTGGTATATTTGGTATTATCATTTATACATAATAAATATATGAAAAAAAAAGGTTAAACATTAAGATCACAGCAAATGTTGTGAGGAATTTTTCTTTGAGACGTGAAATGTGACACAACTGAACGAAAAATCGGAAATTTGATAAAACAGAATTGTGTATTTCGGTCTCGTCGAGAGACCCTCCTCAGTGTGTGATATATATATATATATTTATATATATATAATATATATATATATATATATATATATATATATATATATATATATATATCTATTGTTGTTAATTGGGTATGAAGTTATTACTACACGAGGGTCATAGTACATGTTATCTGTTCACACAGTCAGATATATATTATAACGATAATATGGTATTATAAATCTAGTATGTTGATACACAGAACTTGCACCTCTGGCGTGTATGTATCCTTGTCCATTACAAAAAGGATATGCATAATTTGGAACGTTTAACCACGAATAAATATATTTGAAGTGGATTTGTTTATATTTAATTAATAAAATTAAAATCCTATTAATTTGAGTTGCCTAAATGTAATATTTTTTGCATTAATAATAAGTATATAATCATTCCTGTTTTGAATTTTAAGTTTTAACAACATAAATAACAAAAATATTCTTAAAGTATGAGAAATATTTTAGTGAAGAGACTTATATTTGTAATGATATTAATTAAATTTACAATGTGTATCGAACATTTAATATATACTGTGAAAATTATTATATAACAAATTTATATATTTTTATGACTGCCCAAAGTAATAATTATTTATAATTTTTATTTTTGACGTCTGGATTGCGTCGGCCAGCAGTAACAGCATGTTGATTGGCTTGACCACCATCAGGCTGATACAAAGACGGGCCAGATGCGTGACCCCTCGGAAACTCTCCAGGTAAATCCAGTAAACTGGGGTAGTACTGCCCAAGGTTAAAAATTATACATAAGGATTGTAAGAAGGCATCAGGGTTGATCCGAAGTAATGAGGAAGGTAAGCTCTAGTTGCTTGGATCAAATAAAACAGTAATGAGACATGGGTCAGCCAGACTTAAGTATCTATAATAAACTTAAGGTTAACTAGAGTTCAACATAATAACATAAGACTATCTTATTAGAGATATGCATGGAAAATTTTGTTAGGAAAGTTTATATTGTAATGTTATTTGGTTCAGTATCAAAATATGAACCACCATGGTGTTTTTTGGCTTGCATTTGTCAAAGTGTTGTTCCATTCATTCATGGTTATTCACTTATAAGGCCGTTTGCCAGCCGCCGCTAGTACAGCCTTAGCCTGACCAGCCCGCTAGCAGCCTGGTCACAGCCGGCCTGCCAGGCCGTGCGCCCGCTCAGGCAGCCTCCTCCAGCAACACTCCAGGCTAACAGGCACTGCCACCGTAATTTCACATAAGGCTTGAGAAGGGCATCAGGTTTGATCCGAGTAAGAGGGAAGGTAAGCTCTAGTTGCTTGGATCAAAATAAAACAAGGTAATGAGACATGGGTCAGCCAGACTTAAGTATCTTAATAACTTAAGGTTAACTAGAGTTCAACATTAACTTAAGACTATCTTATCTAGATTGATATGCATTGTGTAATATTTTGTTGGGAAGTCTTATCGTAATATTTTGGTCAGTACAAGAGATATGACCCACCAGGCTGTGTTGTGGCTGCATTTGTCAAGTGTTGCTTACATTCATTCATGGTTATTCACTTATAAGGCCAGTTTGCCAGCCCGCTAGTCAGCCAGCCTGCCAGCCCGCTAGCCAGCCAGCCTGCCAGCCCGCTAGCCAGCCAGCCTGCCAGCCCGCTAGCCAGCCAGCCTGCCAGCCCGCTAGCCAGCCAGCCTGCCAGCCCGCTAGCCAGCCAGCCTGCCAGCCCGCTAGCCAGCCAGCCTGCCAGCCCGCTAGCAGCCAGCCTGCCAGCCCGCTAGCCAGCCAGCCTGCCAGCCCGCTAGCAGCCAGCCTGCCAGCCCGCTAGCCAGCCAGCCTGCCAGCCCGCTAGCCAGCCAGCCAGCCAGCCCGCTAGCCAGCCAGCCTGCCAGCCAGCCCGCTAGCCAGCCAGCCCGCTAGCCAGCCAGCCAGCCAGCCAGCCCGCTAGCCAGCCAGCCTGCCAGCCCGCTAGCCAGCCAGCCTGCCAGCCAGCCCGCTAGCCAGCCAGCCTGCCAGCCCGCTAGCCAGCCAGCCTGCCAGCCCGCTAGCCAGCCAGCCTGCCAGCCCGCTAGCCAGCCAGCCAGCCAGCCCGCTAGCCAGCCAGCTAGCCAGCCAGCCAGCCAGCCAGCCCACCAGCCAGCCAGCCTGCCAGCCCGCTAGCCAGCCAGCCTGCCAGCCCGCTAGCCAGCCAGCCTGCCAGCCCGCTAGCTAGCCAGCCAGCCAGCCAGCCTGCTAGCCAGCCCGCTAGCCAGCCAGCCAGCCCACCAGCCAGCCAGCCTGCCAGCCCGCTAGCCAGCCAGCCTGCCAGCCCGCTAGCCAGCCAGCTAGCCAGCCAGCCAGCCAGCCAGCCCACCAGCCAGCCAGCCTGCCAGCCCGCTAGCCAGCCAGCCTGCCAGCCCGCTAGCCAGCCAGCCAGCCAGCCCGCCAGCCAGCCAGCCAGCCAGCCAGCCAGCCTGCCAGCCCGCTAGCCAGCCAGCCAGCCAGCCGTAGCCAGCTAGCCAGCCAGCCCACCAGCCAGCCAGCCGGCCAGCCAGCCAGCCAGCCAGCCAGCCAGCCAGCCCGCCAGCCAGCCATTCATCTATCCATAATTCTCATTCAGTCACTTATACACTCACAACACTGAGAAAATTTCTTCTACTTTAATGAGTACAATCTAGTTATTTACTCAGATTCTGCACGACCTTTGTAAACCCGTTAAAAGTAGTTATGAATTTTTTTTTTTTTTGGTATGATGATTTTGCTTTTTCCGCATGAATACTAAGCTATTAACCCAACTTTTTAAAAATTTACGTACAGTAATGTCGCTTAAGTTAAATTCTCTAAGAATTTGCATAACTATATTCAACTATCGTTTGAGGGGGACATAAAATTTTAGTCTGCCATAAATACTGTACAAGGTCTAAGGTGGACGAACTTGAAGACACAGGAGATGCCTTTTATAGTGGGCGTCACTCAAGATTCACGGGGGAAAATTAAAGACTACAAATAATTGTTGTAGACGGCCAGAAGGTCGAAGAACTTGAAGGAGGCGCGGGAGTAGAGGTCCTCGAGGTAGTGGGCGTCCCTGAGTGTGCGTGGGGAGCAGCCGTAAGGAACTACGTCACAAGTGGAGTGGTAGGACAGTGTCCGGTCAATGTAGGTCCCTAAGTCAGTGTCTCCGAAGTAGTAACCCAGTCCCACTCTGTCGAAGTCATTGTAGGTTAGTTGACGCTTGAATAAGCAAGGAATCCTTATGTTAATAGCCTATCCTATCAAAACGTTATTTTACACACTTCCGTTTATAGCATGGTGTAAGGTGTAAGGAGACTTGCCCAGCCCGGGAATCAAACCTGGTTATTTTACTGGTAAGCATCCTGAATCAAAATAATGCGTTTACTGCCCTTAACAAGTCTTTGAAGATAAACACCTTACATAAGCACCGGTCAATAGCACAAATGAACCCACACTCGATCTGCTGAAAGAGGCCTGAATGCGAGGCCCATTTGAGATACGTATTTATAACTGACATATGCAGTATAACTTACAAATACGGTTTTATAATACTATGTGGGTTCGTTTGTCTCTTAAAAACTGTAAAAAAATATCAGATTGTCTCACATGATAATGTCAGTGAAGGTTATTTCTCGGTAAGGTCTTTCTTGTATCTGCTCACAGAGGAACTGCCTCACACAGGCCCTGTGACCCTCCCGGTGCAGTTTGATGACGGCTGCCAGGTTGCCAGGGATAGTCAGGATAGAGCTCAAGGGATGAAACGATCGCTCCTGCCTGTACCGGAAGAAATGGATAGATTAGGTTAGATTTTGATGTTGTCAAAGAATATAAGGTGAGTGTTACATGTCTGGGTGGTCACGCTTTTTCTGCATGCTCATTAGTAAGGTTGGTCAACATGAACCAAGAATATTTGAATATCTAAAACAGTGATTAAACTCTGTATATACATACAGACTATATATTTTCAATTAACATTGAACATATACCAAATTATTCAAATGAACATGTACGT